AGGTGGTTTATCAATTGGTATTCCAGGTGAAATAGCTGGTTTTTGGAGAGCTCATAAACAATATGGTAAATTACCATGGTCAGCTTTATTTAAACCAGCTATTGATATGTGTAGTGAAGGGTTTACTATGCAAAAAGCTCTTGCTTTTAGTATTCTAAAAAATAAAGATAAATTATGGAAACATAGACCATTCAGGTTATTACATATAAATAGACAAAGCAAAAAAAGAAAGGACAAGACAATAAATTTATATTATTTGTCTTTCTTCTTTTGGTTATTTTAGACGAGTCTTTTTCAAAGGTGATTCCGATGAAGTATATGGATTGTATGATACTATTTATCGACCACGTCTTGGTGAAACTCTTGCAATAATTGCTGAAAAAGGACCAAGTGCATTTTATGAAGGTGAACTATCAGCAGGCATTTGTGAAGAAATTCAATCACATGGTGGAATTATTACCGAACAAGATTTGGCAACTTATAATGCTCGACTCAAACCATCTCTTAAGATTAGAATATCAAATAATTATATAGCTTATGGTGTGCCACCACCAGCTAGTTCTGCAATTACTTTACTTATTCTTAAAGTAATGGATGGTAAGTAACGAAGAATATATGAAAGAAAAAAAGCTATCAGTAAATTCCCTACGGGATAAAATGTGAAACACACGACAGAACTGTGTGGTTTTTTTTATTAAGAAAGAGAAAAATGTTCACCATATCACTATTGTTTCGTGACTGAGTGCCAATTGTCAATAAGGATTTTCTGACAATAGAAATACTATTTGTAATATGTAGAAAAAAAAAATGTATACAAATTTTTTTGTGTAATAAACTTTGACAAGGATTAACAATCATAATTTATATTTTAGGTTATGGTCTAACACCACAATCATTAGATACTGATGAAAAACAAGTGAATTTTTATCATATTCTTAATGAAGTATTTAAATTTGCTTATGGTAAACGATCAGCATTAGGTGATGAATATGATTCACAAACAGAGAAGAATCAAGAAATAGAAAAAGTAGAAAAAAAAAAACTTCTTTTTTGTTTTTCGATAAAACAAAAAACATTTCATTTAGTTACTTCATTTAATTCTATCTTCTCGTTATGCAGAAGAAATTCGTGAACGAGTCAATGAAAAAAAAACTCAGCCTCTTGATTATTATGAACCAATGTTTGAACCTCAAACAGGTATAAAAAATATTTCAAATGAGAAAATATATACATTTATTGTTTTGTTGAAGATCATGGAACTAGTCATTGTTCAATTATTGATGCTGAAGGAAATGCTGTTGCCGCCACAAGTACAATAAATACTGCGTAATCTAATTATTTTTAATTTTTGTTCGAAAATATATTTCAAAAAAACAAAAATTCTTTTTTTCTAGTTTTGGTGCCTTTGTTTACGGACATAATACTGGTAAGTGAGTTTTAGTTCGTATATAATAAGAACGAACTATTTAAATATTTCTTCTAGGTATCATCTATAATAATCAAATGGATGATTTTTCAAATCCTGGTTCACCGAATTTTTATGGTTACGCACCAAGTCCAGCAAATTTTATCAAACCTTGTAAGTTGTAGAATAGAGAACTATGAAAAAAAAACAGACAATCCAATATTTTCAGTTAAGCGTCCAATGACATCGATAAGTCCAATTCTTGTTACTGATTCAAGTGGTGCAGTTATTTTTACAGCTGGTGGTTCCGGTGGTAGTCGAATAATATCTTCTGTAGCTCAAGTAGCTATTTATAATTTATGGCTTGGTAAAAGTATTCGTGATGCTGTTGATATGCCTCGATTACATCAACAACTTATTCCAATGGAACTTGAATTAGAAAAACGTTTTCCTATCGTATAATATAAATGATATCTTTTTGTTTTTAAATTTTCTTGTTTTTTTTTGGTTTGTCTAAATTTAGAATATTGTTCATGGTCTTCTAGCAAGAGGTCATACAATATCAGGTTTTCGTGGTGGATGTGTTGTTCAAGCAATTGAACGTCGTCATACAAATGAATTATGGGCTGTAAGTGATGCTCGAAAAGGTGGTGCACCTGATGGTCTGGGTTATAAAAATATTATAAAAAGTTTTCAAAATTGGTTTCGTCGAACATTTAAACGAAGTAAAGAACAAAAATTACTCGAACAGGCAATTGAAAAAGGTCGATTATTAACACCAAAATGAGAGAAAAAAATGCATTTTTAGTATATTTTTGTGATCCTATTTCCTTTTTCCCTATCATTTCCTCTAGTAATTGCACAAATACCCAGATAGTCAATTACTTTTACAAAAACCTATTTCCTACGTTAATTTCTTGTTATTGTCTAAACTATTTTTGTTCGTTCATTCAATATTGATATTATATATTTCTTATTTTCTATAATGTACCTAATCGAACGATGACAATAATGATTCTTTTTTTAGAAAGTTCAATAATATTTTGGATGATAATGAGCAGATGAAAGATAATTTAAGCAAAATCTTTACATTAGAATTATCATAGATGCATAAGTTGTTTTTCATATGTAAAAGTTCTTTGAAAATAATAATTTAAACACGTATGAAGTGTAGCTTAGCTGGATAAATAATACCGATATTAATGAAAACTTAGGTCCACTCGTTCCACTCTATTACGTCTTTTTATGCGCATATTGTGGCCGCTACCTCCTTCAACGCTTTTAATCCAAATAGATGCCGCATCTTGTTTTTTTTTTTGGATGATTTTTCTCGACTATTGCCATTTGATTTCATATTTATATCGTAAGTATCTCTTTGATTACTTAACTTATTCTGAATTTATTAGTCTTATACAATGAAGATTCGTTAAGAAAAGTAGAGTGTGGATGTGAGATGTCGGTGTCGCTGTAAGTGTATACAGATGTTTGACTGCAGTTACAGAGACTACTAATGCTTACAGCCACATTCTTAGTAGACATTTCTAGTTCACCTTCGAGAAAGACAAGCAACACTTGTCGAGATCAACAAAACCATTGAAATTTTCAATTTCATCGAACCAGCTTCATCTGAAGACAAGGATGTTAGACCATCATCTTCTCCATGGTCGTTGCCCGTGTTATTGATCAAGAAAAAAGACGATGACTAATAGGTTGATGGTAGATTATGAGAAGCTTAATTCAATAAGAACTAAGGATTCATTTTCGATTCCAACTATTGAATCAACCTTACAACAATTAGCTGGAAATCGTGATTTTTCAAAGCTTGGCTTACGATCAGATCATTTTCAGATACCAATTCATGAGAATGACAAACCCAAAACAGCATTTATAACAACAACTGATCTCTGGGAATTTAATGTTTTATCAATGGGTTTAACAAATGCTCCACCAAGTTTTCAGAGAACTATGGATAATTCAATTGACAATAATCGTGAACAATATTGTTTGGTTTATCCCGATGATATAATAATTTTTAGCAAGACATTTAAAGATGAGCTGAACCATCTTAATAAAATTCTTAATATTCTCGACAAGCATAGTTTTTAATTGAATCCTAGTAAATGTTCAATAATGAAAAAACGAATTGATTATTTAGGACACTCAATTAGTGAATATGGGATCACTTCAATACATGATAATATTAAAGCATATTCGTGAACTACAATTATCTGATCATCCAACATTAAAACAAGCTAATGAATTTATCGGTGAACTAGAATTTAATGGAAGGTTTATTAAAAATTTTTCAAAAATAACTATTCCAATTTACCGAGTTACAAATTTAAGCAAGAACAACAAACATAATTTTAAATGGCATGAAGAACAAAGACAAGCCATTTAGCAACTGAAGGAGATTATTACTGGAGCAGAATTAGTACTTGATTTTCCGAATCCAGATTTACAATATAAATTGTCAACTGATGCTTCAAATGTTGGTCTAGATGCTGTACTTAAAGAAGTACCTAAAGATAGAAGAATAAAAATAATTTATTATTTATTATGTACTTTATCGAAAAATGAATCAAGATATTCTACTACAGAATTAGAAGCATTAGCAATGATGTAGACTATTATAAAATGATGTTCTTGTTTACTTGAAAAAGATTTTAAAGTTGAGACTGATCATTGCCCTTTATGCCAATTCCACAAAAAAAACAAAAAAGACAAGTGTCATTGTGATGTGCTAATTTATTTTTTCGTTACCTATTACACAGTGATGAAAACCCGTTCAATGACTTCATGATCAGAAAACAAGAAGAAGATTATTTGTTTCCTCATGTAGACAAATTAGATGATACTGAACTAGACCTTCAATCAGGAATACCAATCAATGTTATTGCTCATTCTGCTATTTATGGTCAAGTAATAGTGTAAGAATCCATAAATTAAAAGGAAAAAATTTATCTTCATCATTGAATACGAACAAGCATGTAATGTTACCTACATCACCACATATGCATAAGACTGCAACTTCATTCTCATCATTACCATCAAACAAGTTATGTAAAGTTTCTTCAATACATACTGGATTTAGTATGAGGAACTTAAAGAAAGCACAAATGAAGGATTTTGAAATTCAAGAAAAAATAAAAGATCTAGTTAATGATGAAAGTTATGAAATTATTAATGATATTATTCATCAAATTAGTTCCATGTGATAAAACTAAAATTAAACTGCCATGAATCCCGAAATCAATGATCAGCCAAGTGTTTTTTCTTTATCACAATCATCATACAGCAGCATATCTAGGGAATCATAACACGTCACATAAATTGATCAACAAGTACTATTGGCCTAGTATGCATAAGGCAATAACAAATTATATATAATTTTGTATGAAATGTGCAAAATATAATTATATAAGAACAAAATGACCCGATAAAATGAATATTATCCCAACACTCAATGAAGTAATGAGTTTGATAGATATATATTATTAGGATCCGACTAATTATCTTACGACAAAAGGTAATCAATATGTGATTACAATGACTGATTACTTGTTCAAGTTCATGTTTACAAGAGCAGTAAAAACCAATTCAGCTCAAGAAGTAGT